TTACGCGAACGCAAAGGGTTGCGTTCCTTGAGTAAAGTTGCCCATTCCCCGGAAAAATGAGCCCATCTAACTTACTTTTTCAAACAAATGGGCTATTTGTTCACCCCGAACGTAATGGGGTTATCTTCGTTGAGTAAAGTTGCCCATTCCCCAGAAAAATGGGCCCAACAAATTTACTTTTTCAAACAAACGAGCTATTTGTTCACGCGAATGCAGGGGTTGCGTTCGATGAGTAAAGTTGCCCGTTCCCCATAAAAAGGGCCCAACTAATTTACTTTTTTAAACAAACGGGCTATTTGTTCACACGAACGCAGGGGTTGCGTTCGTTGAGTAAAGTTGCCTATTCCCCTGAAAAATAAACCCAACTAACTTACTTTTTCAAACAAACAGGCTATTTGTTCACGCGAACACATGAGATATGTTCGTGGAGTAAAGTTTTCCCGTTCCTCGGAAAAATGAGCCCAGCTAACTTACTTTCTCAAACAAACAGGCAATTTATTCACGCGAACACAAGGGTTTGCGTTCCTTGAGTAAAATTACCCATTCCCCGGAAAAGTGACCCAACTAGCTTACTTTATCAAACAAACGAGCTATTTGTTCACACGAACGCAATGGGTTGCGTTCGTTGAGTAAAGTTGCCCGTTCCCCGTAAAAATGGACTCCACTAGCTTACTTTTTAAAAAAAAATAGGCTATTTGTTCACGAGAACGCAGGGGTTACTTTCGTTGAGTAAAGTTGCATGTTCCCCAGAAAAATGGACCTCACTAACTTACTTTTTCATACAAATGTGCTACTTTTTTAGGCGAATGAAGGGAGTGCGTTCGTTGAGTAAAGTTCGCTGTTCCCCGAGAAATTGGACCAAGTAAAATACTTTATCAAACAAACGCACTATTTTTCCATGCAAAAGCAGGGGTTGCATTCATTGGGTATGTTGCGTTCATTTGATAAATTTAAATGTTGGTATGTTCGGTAAGAAAAAATAAGAGTTCACGAGAAAGAAGAAGACATGAATGGGTGTTTTATTTTGAGTTGAAGAAATTATTATTATTATTTTTTAAGGAAAAAACGTATCGGTGTGATATATACTATTGTTATATCCAAACTTGGATTACAGGACTTGGTATATCCAAAGTCAAGAGGGAAATAGCCCAGATCGTATGCTAAGGTCCCTAAGCAATCACTTAGTGGAAAAGGAAGTGAATATGAATCTAGATGGTTGCTCCTCATTGTTTGAACCTCATAGGGGCTCTTCATTTATGTAGATGGACACTTGCCTAAATTGTAATCCAATGTTTAAACAAACTATGGATTTATGCATGGTTTATTCATTCTAATCAACATTTTATTTTCAAACTTTTCATTAACACGTATTACATATCACTTATATTTCATCATATGTATATCTTATTATTAGTAAATTTTGAGTTTTATTTGTTCAATACATTCATTGATCATGTACATAACATTTATAAAAATTTTACACCAAAATTACGTATCCCCCCGCCCCCCAATTTAATTATTAATCTCTTGTAATATATTATAAAATATATGATATAGCAATACAATTACTGCAATTAGAGTAGTGATGGCCCTCCCAGTTGAAGATTAAAAACCTAGTGGAAGTGATTTTGAAATTTTGGCCCCTCCATACTAAGAATCCTAGCTCCGCCACTGAGTAGGGGTAAAATGGTCACTTTTTAATCCGGAAGGATTTTGGGGCAGTGAGTGGTATTTTTATGTAGATCGTACCTAGATGAGTCTATAGACACGTAGTGGGCTAGAATCGGAGTTGTAACGAAGAAAATACGATCAAATTACTTTCATAGGCATATTCGTAAATAAGTTGAAATTTGTTTTTAATTAAAACTAGAAAACCCTCACCTCTCTCTCTCTCCCCGCGAGACAGCCCCTCCCCCTTTGTTTTCTGCATAGCCGGTTGGCTCTTTGAGTCACCGTCGCCAACACAGGCCGCCACCTGCCGCGAGATCAGACCCAATTGAACCACCGCCACTCCCTCTTCACTTCTTGACCAGTCTCAGCCCCTGGAAAAGTCAGAGATCGCCGGAAACCGCCACACAAAGCTGCTGGTTTTTGGACAGTTTGGACAAATTTTTCTCAAGCCGTTTCGGGTGATTCCGACGACCAATTTTTGCAAATTTGGTATACTTTTCTATCCTCTCGACATTATCTAGTTGATGATTGTGTTAATTAGGAGAAATTTCTGCTTTTTGATAGTTAAATAAGCGATTGAATATCTGTCAATTTCTGCTCCACTCTATGAGGTGATCATATGTATAATTCTTAACTGGCGGTTTGGAGTTTTCTCGATCGCCAGAATTTGATTTGGGCACCCACGCACTGCCGGGCGCATGAGGCGGCGCGTGGGCCACTTTTTGGCCAGTCCTTGAGTCCTAAAATACTCCTCATGTCGTCCCGAGCACGACGGTGTGCTCGGATATGAATTTAGATATCGTTTGATTGTCATATTAGGCATTATCCGGGTTCAACATGTTCGGACCGTTGGATCGACTCCATTTCAATATATGTTCATCTAAGCATTTCTAGGATCGTGTAGGAATTCGCGGATCATGAATCGGCTATGATTATTAGTATTTAAGCGAACACTTGTCTTTAAGAGTACTTAGTTCTTTTAATATGGAATTTATGTGAAAACAAGTGTTGGTTTCTATTTAAGTTGTTTTGGGATCTGAATGAAATTTATGTTTATGTGAATGATCGTTGGTTTCAAATAGCATTATTCTCATTGATTAAATTACCATGCAATCTACTATGGATTTATATGATTATGGAATATATGCTTGAGAGTTTATTGTCTATACTATGAATAGGTAATTGGAAAAATTGAATTAAGGAATGGAATATTATTTTTATAATATTTATATAAGGGTTACGAACTCCACCATCATATGTACCTTCTCTGGTCATTATACCCACATGTGGAACTGAATTTCCGGCGTGTGGGTTTCCTTGGTTATGGATTCTGGAATTGATGGATACTTGGAGATTATGGATATGGTTTGGATATGTTGGAACTCGGGCACCCTTGACGGGTTGTTTCGTAGATCCTTGGCGGGGTAGTTTGCACGCGTAGGACTTATCACAAGCATACAAGTCTTGAGGATTCGGCTGTACGTGCTGGCTAAGAGTTAGTCCCCCGGTTGGATGGCTCATTCCCTAGCCACATGGTCAATTAAGGATTCTTCCATGTGGACTAGTCAAACGATCCCCGGTTGGATTATTTTCCCCAGTAAAAGATGTGCATCATAGGTACCTCCCCTGGATACTGATACTTGGAAACAGTGGATATGGATACTGGGATACATGGAAATGGATACATGGATATGGATACGTGGATATGTCGGAACCCGGGCACCCTTGACGGGGTGTTACCGTAGACCCTTGACTGGGTAGTCTACGATCGTAGGACTTCTCACAAGCGTACGAGTCTTGAGGATTCGGCTATACGGGTTGGCTGAGAGTTAGTTCCCCCGTTGGATTATATATATATATATATATATATATATATATGTGTGTGTGTGTGTGTGTGTGTGTGTGTGTGTGGATTCGTTTATGAGTTGAGATTCTTGAGTTTGTGCTTCGTGAGTACCCTGCATAGGTATGAATGTTTAAGTCCTGGATTGGAAAGTGTTGTTCGGCAACATACGCCTTGGATAGGGTATGGTTGCGCGGAAAGAACAGATAAAAGGAAAGGAACTCATAAAGTGTTCAGGGGTTGCCTTGTCGAATTTGATGTAGTAAGGAATCTAAATTTATTCGTTGGTCTTACTTTAAATAATTGTATATTATCGGGGTTGTGACTATTGATATAAGAACTATGTGTGGCTTAATCCCTTGCCCAAGGGTACGTAGGTAGCCTGGGGTCTCACCTAGGTGCAGTCGCGAAATAAACTATATTTAAAAGGTTTGACCGATTCTGAGTATGAGAATTGACTTTGATGTGGTTATTGGATTTGAATCCTATTTATTATTACTGTTGGGTTCGATTTTGAATACGTTGATACGCCTGAAGCTCAATTTAAACTTGAGCGATATTAAATTCCTGTTTATTTTCTCAGTTATCACTTGATTGGATTTTTATAAATAATATATGTGATTTTGACAAGTCTGAGATCCATTGCGAATTAAATGATTGATTTTAGGTTTGATTATATTGTATAATGGACTCGAGGGCCTTAGAACTGTTGGTGATAGTTCATAGCTGGGAGATGTTGCATGCTGAAAATTGGTGGATAGTATTATTTTTGCCCTTCTGCTGGTTGAAACTTGAGAAGTGCTTCTATATTGAATATAGTAGTATTCGAAAAATTGTTTGAGTTCATTATTTGCCTTGTTTAATGTATTATTTGAATTAAGAGCATAGTTGGTGGTCCGGTTTTGATTTATTTGAAGGATGGAAGCCTATTCTGTAACCTGTATGTTATTATATTATGTGTGCTGGCAGTTGGTTTCTTAGACTGTGACTTTTACATGTGAACCAATTTGGTAAATGTTCGTTTTTCAGAGGAGACTCTGCCGAAATTTCGGCAGAAAGTCTCATGCCCATTTTCCTTAGTTTGCATAAATAGTTTGGCCGAAATATCCATAAATTAGAGGCCCGATATTATCTGCACGGTCGATATTATCCTTGACCTTACCTTTGTGAGGTGCAGAAATTGGATTCATCACTATCCATGTTAAGGGTAATGATTAAAATATGGATCTCGAGTATAAGAACCTGAAAAACCATTTGAGTTCCAAGAACTTCAACAACCATTTAAGTTCCAAAAACCTGAAAAAGTTTCACTTGCTTATTAAATCTACACTAGTTTGTGTACTTCGAGAAAGCAAGAGAGTGAAATTTGTTTGTACAAATGGTAATAATTGCATATAAAGGGTCAACTATTGCATAAATGGTATGCAATTGCATATCCTGGTTTACAAAAGTCATTAAAAATGAATTTTATTCCAGTTTAGGCTTTAAAGAGACTACGCAATTGCACGTCCCATGATACAAAAACTAGACAACGGTGTAGAATTACCCTTTCCTCCATCTGTTTTATTTGCAATCAATCGACGACCAACATAACCAAAGGGCATTGGTTAATTTTTGTTAATTCATTTCTGCAAAGCTTCATAACTGATTCAGTAGCAAAACCAAGCTAAACTTAATAATAAAATAAATATATTAAAAAATAAATTGAAATTTGAAATTGCAAACTAATTAAAATAAATATAATTACATACAACATGCAAATCTATCCATTGTAACATGATATTTAAATCACAATAAAAATTACATTTAAAACTAAAATTACTCAAAATGAACTAAGTTATCTAGCACTTAAAAGATCACGAGCAACACAGTATAAGAAAACCTTTATGAGAAATTCATCCCTACTATATGGCACTTTATGGGAACAACATATGGTGCATAACCATTTTCTCAAGTCCTCACTATATGGAACTTTATGGGAACAATGGTTGTTGTTCATTAAAAGCAGAAGACATCAGAGTAAGAAATAAATAAAACTTCACAAACTAGTGAAACGAGAACTAGAAAATCTGAAATTTGGGGTAAGTTATGAAAGAAAAAGGGGGAAGGAACAAGAGGGCAGCTATCCAGTGATCCATTGAAGGTTGTAAGCTGGAATGTCAGGGGCCTGGGGGGGAAGAAAAAAAGACTTATGGTGCAGATATCGTGTTGATCCAGGAAACAAAGAAGATGCTGATCGACTGGAAACTAATCGGGCATATTTGGGGAGCGAAATTTAGGGAGTGGATCTGTATTCCTTCACATGGCTCGTCTGGAGGAATACTATTCATGTGGAATACAAAAGCCATTAAAGTGAAAGAGTCATTTCTGGGCTCTTACACAGCTTCCATCAACTGTGTGGACACAGAAGGTAAAGAGTGGTGGCTCACAGGGGTATATGGACCAAACGGCTCAAGAGAAAGATCTCTGTTTTGGGAAGAATTAGCTGCTTTATACGGCTTATGCAAACCAAACTGGTGTATTGGGGGAGATTTTAATATCACTAGATTTCCATCTGAAAAATCCAACGAGGGAAGATTCACAAAAAGCATGAGAGTGTTTAATGACTTTATCAGGGAGACATACCTATGTGACCCAAATCTTCACAATGCTAGCTTTACTTGGTCAAATATGGGGGAGAATGCGATCTTAAGAAAACTGGACAGATTCATGTTCACCCCAAACTGGGAGGATCTATTTCCTCACGTCAGACAAATGGCTCTTCCTAAGGTAACCTCCGACCACTGCCGTATCCTACTGGATTTGAAGGCAAAGAAATGGGGACTGGTGCCCTTTAAATTCGAGAATATGTTGCTGAAGCAGCAGGACTTCAAGGGAAAATTCAAAGAGAGGTGGGAGGGAGAGCGACAATAAGGGTGGGAAGGCTTCAAGTTTATGAAGAAATTAAAGGCTGTGAAAGGAAAAGTGAAGGATTGGAGTAGAGAAACCAGTAGAGATATCAACGTCGAATCAAAAGAGGTAGATAATCGAATTAAAGAATTAGATGTTTTGGAAGAGAGGGGCCTTCTATCTCAAGACAGAAAACGAGAAAAAGCTCAGTTGAGACTAAGAATTGAAGAGCTAGCATTCAAAGAAGAGATAATGTGGAGACAGAGAGCAAAGGTGGCGTGGGCAAAAGAAGGGGATACAAACACAAAGTTCTTTCACAGAATTGTAAACTGCAGAAAGAAACGAAACCTGATCGAAAAATTGGAACTAGCAGATGGCTCCATCACTGAAGATGACGGTAGAATTGAACAAGAAATAATCTCGTATTTTAAACACTTATACTCAAGTGAGGGCTTGGAAAGGCCTAGACTAGAGGGGTTGGACTGGTGCGCTTTGGAGAAAGTGAGAGCCTCATAGCTGGAAAGACCTTTTGAAGAAGAGGAAATTAGAAGAGCTGTTTTCAAATGTGGAAAAGATAAGTCACCAGGCCCTGATGGGTTCTCCTTGGCCTACTTTCAACACTGCTGGACGATTCTAAAGGGCGATTTAGTGAGGGTTTTTGCTGAATTCTATGAATCAGGTATTGTGAATGTGGTAACTAACGAAACCTACATTTGCCTAATACCTAAGAAAGCTGAAGCAGTCAAAGTAGGTGACTTTAGGCCTATAAGTCTGGTTTCAAGCCTATACAAAATAATTGCAAACGTGTTGGCAGCTCGGTTGAGAGAGGTGCTGGGAGACACCATATCTCAAACGCAAGGGGCGTTCGTAAAGAAGAGGCAGATTTTGGATGAAGTCTTGATCGCTAATGAGGTGGTGGATGAAACAAGGAAGAAAAATCAAAAGGGTTTCGTTTTCAAGATAGATTTCGAGAAAGCCTACGACCATTTGGACTGGGGCTTCCTAGACTATGTGTTAGAAAGAAAGGGCTTCGGTCTGACCTGGCGAAAATGGATAAAAGGGTGCTGACAATCTGCAAATTACTCAGTTTTAATAAAAGGAAAGCCAAGGGGAAAGTTTGGAGCGTCTAGGGGAATACGTCAAGGTGATCCTTTGTCGCCTTTTCTTTTTACTTTCGCTGCAGACACTCTGAGCAGAATGTGTTCGAAGGCCAGAGAAAGGGGTTTGGTGGAGGGGCTGGCCATCGGAAGAGATAAGGTGATGGTTTCACACCTACAGTTTGCAGATGACACTTACCTGTTTGGACCCCAGTGATCGAGAGAGTGACTTGAAGGTTAGAAGGATGGAGCAAGGCCTTGCTATCCCGAGGGGGAAGGCTGACTTTAATCCAAGCAGTGTTGAGCAGCCTACCAACTTACTACTTATCTTTATTTAGAATGCCTGCTAGCATGGAAAAACGCTTGGAGAAGTTAATGAGGAATTTTCTATGGGAGGGTGTGGAGGAAGGCAGGAAGGATCACTTGATAAAGTGGGAGGTAGTGTCCTTACCAAAAGAAAATGGGGGACTTGGGATAGGAAATCTGAGGAAACGAAATGAGGCCTTACTTGGAAAGTGGCTATGGAGATTCCAAAATGAAACCGACACCCTTTGGTACAATGTGATAAAGAGTAAGTACAGGCTGCAGCTAAATGGTTGGGATTCTAAAACAAGATCAAATGGATCCAGTCGATGTCCTTGGACTGAAATAAGTAAAGGATTGGGGTCTTTTGTGGCTTGTTGTCGTCTCAAGGTGGGTAACGGTGTGAGAGTACGATTCTGGGAAGATGCGTGGCTGGGAGATACAAACTTGGGGGACAGATTTCCTCGTCTCCTTCGTGTTTTGCGCAAACAAAATGCCAAAATTGTAGATATGTGCAGTGACATGAACTCCCTTCCGTTGAGCTGGGACTTTGGGTTTCGCAGGAACCTAAGGGATGAGGAAATTGAGGATTTGGCTGCGCTTCTGTTAAGTCTGGAACAAGTTGTGCTGTTTCAAAATAGAAGTGATACCAGATCTTGGAATTTGGAGTCTACAGGAGAATTCTCTTGTAAATCCTTCTCTTGACACCTGATGATTAACCCTCGCTCACCTCGCTTATATTCCTCCTCTGTTATCTGGAAAACTAAAGCTCCTCCTAAGGTAAGACTATTAGCATGGCTAATCAACCACGACAGAATCAACACATGTGACTGGATTCAAAGAAAAAGGCCTGGCTGGTATCTTTCCCCCAATTGGTGCGTATTGTGCAAAAATGACTGTGAAACCGTGGATCACCTGTTTTTGCTTTGCCCTATCGCCTCATCTCTACGGTCTAAATTGTTTAAGGTGGCCGGGCTAGTGTGTGGTAGCTACACAACATGCAGTGCGTTACTTGAAGCTGGACTGAACTTTTTTGGTGGCAAAAGGAAGGGCTCAGTGTTAGGAAATTGTGCCATGTTAGCAACTTTATGGGTAATTTGGGGGGAAAGGAACAGGAGAATTTTTGAGGATGTGGGTGGGGACGAGGTTGAGCAACTTTGGGATCGTATCCGTGTCTGGACCCCCCTTTGGGTTTCTGTTAGAGCAACTCCACCCATTTGCCCTTTGCCATGGCAAGGGGGAGGGGGGGGGGGGGGG